CCCCAAAACCCCAAAACCCCAAAACCCCAAAACCCCTTTTTGATAAAACAAAGTTGAAGAATTATATTAATTTTTAACTTTTATATTGAGCATATACCTCCATATTTCTTTTCATTAAATCTTCAACTGGGCCCAAGAGCCTGTTAAAACTGTCTTTTGTTAAACTAACTGCTTCAAGAGTGGCTGATACTACTTCGATATTAGCTGCACGAGGCTCTTTTTGGATTAATGCTCGTTCTCCAAAATAATCTCCTGCTTTGTATTCCATTACCTTTTTAAGCTCACCATCAATGTTTTTGGTGGCTTGAGCTTCCCCTTCTACAAGGAAATATAGTTCATCTCCATCTTCCCCTTCTTTGATTATAAGATCTCCTTGTGAATACTTATGTTTACTGAACGCATCTGCTACCGTTTGTCTCTCATATGCATCCATTGTTTGTAGAATCTTAACCTTTTTGAGGAACTCATCATACATTTCTCTTTTTCTGACAGCAGCATCTTTTACAATGTGGTTGAAGGTTTTCCTATCAAGTCCCCATAACAAGCATTCATCTATAGCAGTGATTGTTGCAGCCCTTGGAGCATTATATAGAAGGGCTAGCTCTCCGAATGCGCCTCCTGGGTTATATACAATTAAATTAGTAGGTTCTGTATTCCCTGGAAAGATCTTGCTACATTGCAATTGTCCTGTTTCAACTACGTAAAGATAATCTCCATCGTCTCCTTCTTTGATGATGCATTCTCCTGGGTTAAGCTTTACTTCAGTCATCGCGTCAATCACAATTTCGAATTCTTTTTCATCCAAAGAATTAAAAAGGAAGGATTGACTCAACCTACTCCTGATTTTGTCTTTAGTACTCTCATTCTTTGGAACAACGACTGGTTTGAAGTCACTCTTTTTATTCCAGACACCAAATGCCTCTGCACTGACAGATGTACGGGGTTTTCTGTCTACTCCTTTCTTGGGTTGTGGAAGAGGAGCGACTGAGTCTTCCTCCTCTTCATCACTACTTTCAGTTTCACTATCGTCTGGATAATGCTTCCGATGTGTATCTTGTTTGGACTCTTTATCTTCTTCATACTGTATTGTATTCCCTTCAAGTCGACTTAGTTTAGCTTGTAGATACTCATTTTCATTTCTAAGAGCATCAAGCTCCATTCTTTCTCTTTCATTTAAAGGATCATTTTCTTGTCCTTTGAGTTCTTCCAGGACCGAGAGAATCATGGGGATAGGGTCTTCAGGTTTCCTCTTAAGGATTCGTTTGATGACCACTGCTAGTGGTTTCTTCACCTTACCGTTCAGGTATTCCCTAGCTTGGGTTTTCTTTGACATTTGTTAAATTTATTTCTATTTTCTATATATTTTTCTTCATAGGGGTTTTGGGGTTTTGGGGTTTTGGGGTTTTGGGGTTTTGGG